TTTAATATTTATTTTTTTTTAGTTCTCGGCGGACACAACATCTTTGTTGGTATGTGGTGCTGAGGATCGAACCCGGGCCGCACGCATGCCAGGCAGGCGCGCTACCGCTTGAGCCACATCCCCAGCCCCCCTGCCTTATTTAATATCATCAAATTCAGTATGTCATTAGTTAATTTATGCTCACGGTACAGAACTAAAATTCAGAGAGCAATTACACAGAATCTTCTTTGTGCAATCCCCAGAAACAGGACTAGGGATGTAGCTGAGTGGCAGAGTAAAGTTACCTAGCATGCATGAAACATTGGATTTAATCCCCAGTAGTGCAAGAAATAAATAAGTAAATAAGTAAATAAATAAAAGCAAAAGTTCATCCCCTAGATTCAAGAAAGTAGCCTACTTTAACCACCTTGAGCTACAATACTTCACAGAACTAAATTTTATTTCTTAAACTATTGTCAAGTAATGTACCAATTTTAAAACCTACCCAAAACTTCTCACAGGTTATTAATCACCTAACAAATATTTGCTGGGCATCTATTACACAAATGGGAATCACTGGCCAAGAGTCAACTGCTAGGGTAGCCATATTCCTACTGGAAAGCACTCAGTTGACTCCCCTGTCAGATTCCAAGTCTACTAAGCTAACTTGTGATTATTTCTGACTATCCATGAAACTTGTCAGGCAAGAAAACTCACTGAGTCTACTGATACATTTTTCCGTTTATCTACAAAATCAAATGTTAGATATACAGCTACACGTTTTCTGTATCCCATGGTTACAAAACCCTCCAGCTATTATTAACATGGCTTACCTATCATTGCTAAAATTACTATTGCTAATTACAACAATAGCATCAAAAATACTTGAAAAAAAATTGGATCTGTACTGAACATTACAGACTTTGAATCATTATTCATTAAACAACACAGCATAACAACTATTTATATAACATTTGTACTGTGTTAGCTATTATAAGTGATCTAGATATGAGGTATACAAGAGAATATACATGGGTTAAATGCAGATACTTTTCCCATTTAATTGATAAAACACTATTTGATATAAGGATTTGAGCATTCTCATATTTTGGTATCTGACAGGAATCCTGGAAGCAAACCCCCCCAGAGATCAGTTATATTTAAATATAAGTTTTAACTCATAATATGGTACAAACTGATAAACAGAAACAAAAGCTCTTTAGCATCCAGGCTCATCTTTACAGAACACAGTGGGACTATTACCCGACCCCCATTTCAGATTCTATATTTGACTACTACTCTATTCATTATAAAGCAGGTTTGACACATGTCAGGAACTCAAACACCTGTCTGAATAAATGACCTGAGGAAGACATTTGTACTAAGATAACAAAAGTTATTTGTTTCTTATATGATACAAATTGCCAAATAAAAGCCAAATGCAGAATTTTAAAATAATCCCCTAATACAACTGTTGAAACCTCATTAACCAAATAATAAAAATATCAGACCTGGTGCCACACTAGAAAAGGAGACATTGTGAAGGTCCAACTTCTCCAAAGTAAGTCACATAATTACACAAAACTCTTTTGGCAATTCAGTTAAGAATTTCTTCTCAATCTAGGACACTGTGTGGCCCCTAAAACATACTACTAAAGGTGTTCCACTACAGTAACAGTGACCCATCAAAATCAATATGACCTGAAGTGGCAGTTATTCTCAAAGTCTATGCCTGCTGCTGTAGACCATGGAAAGATTAAGTGAGCCCAACTTCTTTTCCCTGTGAAAAAGATCAATAGTCACTATCTAAATGTGTAGGGTATAGTCCAATATCACACATGTCAACCTACAAAGGATAAGGCAAAAGCCCTCTTTTCCAAAACTGTTCTCACTAAAGGATACTGTACTAGAATCGGGTCCTTCTGAGGTCATTTTTGATAGCCAATTTTGATCCTCATTTCCCACTTCCATCACCTTTATATGTTTCCTGAGGAAAGGAACTGAATTTTTACATAGAGAGACTTTGGTTTTCAACCAAGATGGAAAGCAAAGATCAGATTTGCCCAACTGCCTAAAACAGCAACAAGAAAATGGACAAACTATATAATGGTTTTCAATGAACTGGGCACTGGACAATGAAGGAAAATGATAAACAAGGTGAGTTCTACAATTGTTCCAGATTATTAACTGAGAAGAGTTTATCCACAAAAAGGGAGGACAAGGAAACCAAAGAGAGCAGTGAGATAAGCTGGGAGTCTGGGGAGGCATCAAAGGAACTCAATTTATAGGTCACATCTCTAAAAAAGATAGATCTATACAAAGAAAGAACTCCAAAGATCAGCAAGATGGTTGATTCCCCCAACTCTTGTCTTCAGCTAAGGACTGTTCAGAGCTTATAAGGAAAACTACCAAAGGCCAGAACAAGAACAACTCAAAGTGACTAAGGGGGGAAAACCACTGCTCATTCAGGGATGGGAATAGTACCCATTCCTACCAACCAGAAAGGAAAACCTCACTGGTCAAAAAGTAAATGAGGGGGCTGCGGTTGTAGCTCAGTGGTAGAGCGCATGCCTAGCATTTGTGAGGCACTGGGTTCAATTCTCAGCACCACATATAAATAAATAACATTAAAGTTCTATCAACAGCTTAAAAAAAAAAAAAAAAACAAGTAAATGAGGCCAAGTGGTTGTGCATGCCTGTAATCCCAGAGGCTGGGGAGGCTGAGGCAAGAAGATGTCAAGTTCAAAGCCAGCCTCAACGACTCAGTGAGACCTTGTCTCTAAATAAAATACAAAAAGAACTGGGGATATGCCTCAGTGGTTAAGTGCCCCTGAGTTCCATCCTCAATAAAAAGAAAAAGTAACTGAGGGAAGAGTATTCAAAAGATTTTTGCTACAATACTGGGATAAAATTAGCCCTGAACAAAAACTGCTCAAGTCCTGCCTAATAAAGCTTAAAAATAAGACCTGAAATGAAATTTTAAAAAAAGAAAATAATAAGCATGAAAGAATAAAACTGTTTCCAAGTTAAACTAACAGAACAAAGTTCAGCAATATTTGCATCCATTAAATCATAATGTTTGGCACTGAACTGAAACATAACTTAAAAGTCATTAGGAAAAAAAAAGTCAACCAATAATGAGAAATTCAATGACTAAAAAAGGACCCAAAACTGACAAAGTTAGAATCTAAACAAGAATATTAATACAGCTATTGTCACTGTATTCTATATATTCAGAGAAGCAAGGTAGAATGTGTAAAGTAGACATCAAAGACATAAAATAAGAACCAAGCAGGTATGGTGATGCACACCTGTAATTCAGCTACTTGTGAGGTTACAAGAGGGATACAAATTTGAGGCCAGCATACACAATTTAGGAAAACCCTGTTTCAAATTTAAAAATGGCTGGCAATGAAGCTCAGTGGTAGAGCATTTGCCTATCATGTGCTGGGTTTGATCCCCAGTACTGCCCCCAAAGAATAAAGAAAGAACAAAATTAAACTGCAAATTAAAAAGTACAATGTTCAAGATGGAAAATGCATTAGATGAGATCAACAGCAGATTAGATTACTGCAGAAGAAAAAAAAGAATCAATGAGCTTGAAGACATTATAGTGGAAACTATTCAAAAATAAAAATGAAGAGAAAAAAGATGAGAGGGGAAAATAAACCCCACAGCATTACTAAGCTGTGGGGCAGAAGCATGCTAATATACATGTAAGAAGAGGGTTGGACCCAAAAATGTATAATGTAATGGTCAAAATTTTTCACATTAGATGAAAACTACAAACCAACAGAGCCAAGAAGTTCAACTAATAAAGTACTAAAGAAACATTAAGAAGTAATGTCAAACTTCTCCCCAAAAGTCATGGGGGGAAAAAATCATCTAATTATAGGAAAATAGACATGTTAATAACAAGACAAATRAGATGTTATCCTTCTTGTCCAAAACAATGCAAATGAAAATTACCACAACATGACTGTTTTTTTTAAAATCGGTACATTATAGTCGTATGTAATGATAGAATCTGTCAAAGCAGTAGCTTCAAAATAGTGAAACCACTAAGAGAATGCTATGCCCAGAAAAAATATCTTTCAAAACTGAAGATAAAATAAAGATTTTTCAGACATAAAACTTGGGAGGGGGTGATCATAAGTCACAGACCTACCCTAAATAAAGTGTTAAGTCCTTCGAGCAGGATGGGAAAAAAAGGACACCAAATGAAAATACAGACGACAAAGGAATGAAGAGCATCAGAAACAGGTAACTACGTAGGTAAATAGACATTACAACAGCACAAAGAAGGAGGGAAGAAACAACTATACTATTATAAAATGCTCACAGAATATACCAAAAAGTTTATTATCACTTGAAAGTAGATTGTGGTAAATTAAAAATGTATATTATGAACTCTAAGCTGGGCACTAAAATAAAACAAAGACTCATAGCCAAAAAACC